TTGTTATTTGTTTTGTTTTAGCAGGAAATCAACACAGGTTCAGACTGCAAGTTCTGTCTCACTTTGTGTATGTGGTAGTCCCAAGGCTGGTTCAACTTTCAAAGCCTTTGCTGTGATGTGTAGGCTTGCCCAGGCTGGCCCCACTCAGGGACTTTGATGGTGGTTTATACTATAATTTGGTTTTCAACACCTCTGCCCTGTTTCTCTGGATCTGTTCCATATACATGCAGCTCAGGAGGTAAGCAGAATTAGTGCCTTCTCTTCTGTAGCTCTCTCCTCTTCAAGACTTCCTTCATATTCTCTCGATGACAACATGGTCACCTATTCACAGTTGCTCTGACCAGAAAGACAAGTTTTCCTCAAGGTTTTAGCCTTCTAAACTGCTATGAGTTCTGAATAAGTGAAGGAAGGGAGAAAAAAAAACATGGGGATTCCCTCCATACTCTATAGATATCACCATTTATACTGTTTACAAAATTATTATCAAATTACATTAAATCATTTTGTCTGTGAATAGTTAGTTCCATAGATATCACTAAAGCTACTTAAAAACAAAACAAAACAAAAACCTCTATACTATTATCAAACCAAACAAATAATTTCTTAGTATCAAATACCAGTCAGTGTTCAAACTTCTAATTGTATACTAATGTCATTAGTTCTCCCAATTTATAATTTGTTTGCATCCATAAGTTATTTGACTTTTACAATTCTTTTAATCTATAGGTTCCCCCCTCTGTTTTTTTTTTTCTTTTGCCATTTATTCAAGTTTTTTCTCTTTAGTTTAGCAGGTCTGCTTCATAGTTTGTCTTATAATACTTTTTATTCTTTGCTGTAATTGATTATGATCTTAGAAAATAATTTCTATTATTTGTATCTTTTTTCTAAATCAATTTTGCCAAAAGTTGGCTTATTGCTATCTTTTTCTAGAAGCCATTTTTGGTTTTGTTGATTTTTCCCTTTTGTATCTTTAATTTCATTTATTTCTGCTTTTTTTTACTGTAACCCTTAATTTCTTTGGATTTGTTTTTCTTTTAGCTTCTTAAGTCGAATCATTCAATTTCAATTTTTTTTTCTTCTAAAGGAAGAATTTATGATCATTAATTCCCTTGTACTACAACGGTACTTCATAAAGTTCACAGAAAGACATATATTATCTTTTAATTCTATTTTTCCATGAACTTTTTTGAAGTATGCTCATATTTTAGCTGTATCCCACAAATTTTTCATTACTGAGTTTTAAATGTACGGATGGTCCCCAGCTTATGATGGTTTGACTTATTTTTTGATTTTATAATGGTGTGAGAGCAATACACATTCAGTAGAAATCATACTTCAAGTACCCATACAACCATTGTTTTTTACTTTCAGTACAATATTCACTAAATTACATGAGATATTCAGCACTTCATCATAAATAGGCTTTGTGTTAGGTGACTGTGCCCAACAATAGGCTAATGTAAGAACTCTGAACATGTTTAAGGTGGGCTAGACTAAGCTATGATGTTCAGTAAGTTAGGTGTATTAAACGCATTTTCAGCTTTCCATATGTTCAACTTACAATGGGTTTACTCAGACATAACCCCATCAGAAGTTTAGGAGCACCTGTATTCAGATTTCTATACTGATTTCTTCTGTGACCTATGAATTACTAAGTAGTATATGAGTATTATTAAATTGACAAACATATGGTTTTAAATTAATTTTATGGTTGCTGATTCCCGGTTTAATTGTATTTTTGTCAGAGAATGCTTGCATAATACCAAGCCTTGGTATATATTCAGACTTTCTTTGTTAGCCTAGCAAATGGACCAACTTTGAAAAATGTTTTATGCATGCTTATAGAGAATGCATATTCTCTGGATGTTGGGAGCAATGGATACCATGTCCATTAGGCATACAGTATTGTTTAAATCTTTTAAGCCTTACTAATTTTTTTGGTATGCCTAATCTATTAATTACTGAGAGATAAAAAAATATTAGCCATTGTAACTGTGAATTTGTCTATATTCCCTGGTGATCGCCAATTTATGTTTTGTATGTTTGAGGCTACATTAATATGTAAGATTTTAAATTATCATATCTTCCTTGTGAATTAGTGACATTCTTAATTTCTAGTTCTAGTATTTCTTTCCTATTTTTGTAATTTTAAATTTTCATGTAATTATCCTGTAAAAACAATATATTTCAATTTTAACTGTAGCATTTGATTCATTTATTATTTTTGCTCAGAAATATCTTAATTTTGCCCTCATTCAGGAATGATAGTTTAGTTGCATAATGGAAATGGAGATCACCAGTTATTAATTTTCTTTCAAAACTTTGAAGACAGAATTCTATTGTCTTTGAGCTTCTACCTTGAAAATGATGATTCTGGTGTCAATCTTAATAGCATCCCTTGGTAGGCAGTCTCTTTTTTCTCTGTAGTTGTGTAAAAAACTTTCTCCTAGCCTCTGGGGTCTAATGTTAGATATCACTTAAAAACTTTTTCTCCAGCTTGGGAGTCACTGTATCATGTCTCTCACCAATTCTTGAAAATAAACTGCCACCTCTCCCGGGACTACTTCTGGGTAGTTTTCTCAGATCTACCCTTTAGTAACTATACTTTTTACTTGTATAAGTTTTATTTGGTTATTTTAAAAATGTTATTTAAAACGTTATTTTAAAAAATGCCCTGGTCTTTTTCTTTCTCCTATTTTTGTTTCCTTCTTGTAAGATATTTAAAACACTTAAGTTGCTGAAGATATAAAAAAACTTCCTGTTTGTTATGTCTGCTGCTTCTTACTCATGGTGGGTTGTGAGCATAGGTGTTTTCTAATTTTAGGTTGTGAGCTTACCTTCAGCAGTGTTTTATCAATGGCATCCCTGTAGCCTCCTTGGTTATTCTGTATTTATTTTTAATTTTTTTTTTTCCTTTTTGTCTTTTTTCGTGTCCAGCAATGGATTGCAACCCTCAGTGTCGCGCCCGTACCGGACCAGGACCGGCAACGGGATCGCAACCCTCGGTGTTGCGCCCTCACCTCGCTCAGCCAGTGAGCGGGAACCGGTCTGTATGTGGGATCCGAACCCTCGGCGGGAGCGCCACCGCACTCCCAAGCGGCGCACTGTAGCAGTGCGCCACCAGGCCGGCCCATTTTTAATTTTTTTTTAACTATAAGAAATAAACCTGCTTTATTTATAAATTACCCAGTCTCAGGTATTCTGTTATAACAACACAACACTGACTAAGACACTTGATAAAAAGACATATTCCTGCAGTTTAACCACAACCTCTCTATGAGAGTGGTAAAGTTTACCTCTATGAGATAAAACACAATCACAAAGACATGATGGAAATGTGATGGACATACATAACCCAGACCTGCCCGAGATGGACTTTCACTTCAACTGTTTCTGGCCTTCTAAAAGTGATTTTTCACCTCATTTTTATAAAACTGTCTTTAAATAGGTATATATGATATTGGTTTTAATAAGGTGAAAATCCTTTCCTCCACGTGTCCCATTGGTAGGTACGGCCCCTCACCTACCATAATTAAGGAATCCGTACCCATAATTCATCTTGCATTTATTTTTGCCCACCTGGAAGGTTTTATGAGCCCAGGACCATTTTGTTACTTTTTGGGCTTAGTGATTCCTAAATAGAGTAGGGAATATAAGCTCATATCCTAAACCCTAATAAAGGCAGGTTTCTAGGTATAAAGTCTCAGTAGAGACCCCAGCCTCACTCCCACACACACCTGAGACCAAGCCCAGAAAAACAAGTTTGTCATCAACATGTGCTACTGGAAAATTTCTTCTAATCTACCCTGTCATGTCAATCATCTCCCTTTGAGAATTCCAGTTTTATGTGAGAAAGTCTCACAAAGTTCATGAATCCTAAGTCTTTGATTTTTCTCAATCTGGGTTTTAAATCCCAGCTCCTGGCATGTCTAGCCCTGGGCAGTAACAGGTTATTGAAATCAGCCAGGGGCATTTATAACATCAATTTTAGTCTATTGCTTTAATTTATAGTTATTTCTCTTCATTTCTATTACATAAGAATTACTTTCTTTTTTCTGGAGCTTACATATGCTTTTAAAAGGATATTTGTTGTACGAGGGTACTTCATAAAGTTCATGGAAAGATTCAAATTATCTTTTAATTCTATTCTTCCATGAACTTTTTGAAGTACCCTCATATTTTACCCAACGTTCCCAGGTGTTTTTTAACAGGTAGGTTTTCAGGTTATGTAATCTATCATAATCTATCATAACCTTGAATATGATTTCCTGATTCTTTAAAGGTATGTTCTCCCATCCTCACTTTCTATTCTTTTCTCTCTTTTTACATACATACACATAAAGTATAACTTTAACTGGGGATATTCCTAAAAGTATAAATTAAAAGCAAAAAGCTAAAGTAGTGAGCAGCCAATCTCAATCTGTCAGTTATTAAAACATTCTTCCCTGCAGTACTTTCTAGTAAAAGCTTCACATGATTAGCAGAGGCAGCATGGTAAGAACACAGACTCAAAACATTTGTTTTTGTTTTCACACTGCTATGACTGACTCTTGTGACGTTTGAGAAGACACTTTAACCTTTTGCAGCCTATTTTTCCTCCTTGCAAAAAAGGTTTTTATAAATCTGTGGTAATAGTAATCAATACTTGTACTCACCAATTAGGAATCCACGGGTTTTAAGAATCCTAATCTTTTAAAATTAAGAATCTTAATATATGTATAATATTCCTGAAATTTATATTACAGTTAATTTAATTTTCTTAAAAATTTTTTTTTCTCTTTTGAAGCTTGGAATATATTTCAGCTTATTTAACTGTAACAATGTTACAATGCTAGGATCTGAGTAGATGCCCAATAAAGTGACTTAAAACTAATTAATTTTTAGAAAGTTGTTATATCAGTTTATATGATCAAGAAACATTTACACAAATCAAAATAACACATTATACAAATCATGTCTTACTATGTTCTTCTTTGAAGTGACTCAATACATAATAATACCTTAGCTTTCGGAGTAGCTTTAATTGTCCATATGCAATCAACTGCTTGGCCAGGTTTCGTTTTTTCCTCTTGTTCTACCTGACTAGAACGCACTATTCCATCAGCTCCTGAGAGCTCAAACTGACAATCTAGAAAAAAATAAATGAATAATAATGAAAGGAAAATAAGACTTATCAAAAATGCCATGAGGAAAAAGAAGTAATATACTAAACCTGGGATGGGATTTAAAATACCTCCTAGGTAAGTAAAGTCTGGATCTGTAACAGAAAAAAAGAAGAAAGTCATTGGTACTGAAATAGTCACTCTAAGGTTTAATGTCTTAAGTTACATCTAATGCTCCATTTAATAGCAAAGTAACAGCTTTTATTGGTGTAGACTACACATCACTAATAGGATGATTAATAGGAAGAGCTCACTAATAGGATCAACATTTATTTAATGATAGTGTTTATACTTGTGATCCCATCATGAATTAATCATTTATTTATGCTACTTGAAAATTCACATCAACAGTCAAAAGTAGTAGTTAGACCACTGATGGATAAATGGATAAACAAAATGTGACATATACAATACAATGAAATATTACTCAGCCTTAAAAAGGTATAAAATTCCTTTTCTGCTGAAATCATTAAAATCTTCCAAACTTTTGCTTAAATGGATAGTAGTGATGGCTGCACAATATTATATATGTATTTAATGTCACTGAATTGTACACTTAAAAATGATTAAGGGGTAAATCTTATGTATATTTTACCACAGTAAAAATGAATTCTTAAGAATTACAAACACAGGTTATTTTAAAAAGAATTACTTGAAAGTTTAGATAGCCCCTGCATATACCAAACTGCAAGAATGGAAAAATTACTGGATAGTCTAAAATGTCTCAGAACTGTTAGTCTGGGAAACCTATTTCAATACACAGTTTATTGTATGTGCCTGGAAGCTCAATTCTTCTTAAAATTGTTGTCTTTAATTACAGACACTTTAGGAAATTATCAAATTACATATTGAAAAAAGGGGAAAAAAAGTATTAGCTTAATTTAGAATACATTTCAGAGACTGTTCTTTTTTAACTTAATAAACTAAATAAGCCTCCCCTTGCTAAAATGGGACAACTAATAGACACTTCACCTCTTTGGCAGAAAAATGTCAATGAGATATTCAAATCTTAAAGCATTGCGGAGAAAGGCCATGGGAGCAATCTGGCAAAATAAGCAGAATTTTTTCATATATAGGCAAGAATTCTAGGATGTTGTCATTATTGCATTAAAATTTCCATAATTATCCCAGTTTCTTCCAGAAAGTAACAATCCATTAAGAGCCTCTGCCTCGACAAATATTACCAATGGCTTAGAGAGTTCCATTAAAAACAAACAAAGGGGGGCCGGCCCGGTGGCGCACTGCTACAGTGCGCCGCTTGGGAGTGCGGTGACGCTCCTGCCGAGGGTTCGGATCCCACATACAGACCGGTTCCCGCTCACTGGCTGAGCGAGGTGCGGGCGCAACACCGAGGGTTGCAATCCCGTTGCCGGTCCGGTGCGGGCGCGACACTGAGGGTTGCGATCCATTGCCGGACACGAAAAAAGAGACAACAAGGAAAACACAAAACAAACAAACAAAGGGGCCAGCCCAGTGGCGCACTGCGCCACTTGGGAGCGGGGCGGCGCTCCCGCCGAGGGTTCGGATCCCATGTGGAGACCGGTTCCCGCTCACTGGCTGAGCGAGGTGCAGGCGCAACACCGAGGGTTGCGATCCCGTTACCGGTCAGTAAAAAAAAAAGAAAAAGAAAAAAAAAAAGAAAAAAACCCCTAGCTAGTTTTTCACCATTGTTAACAGGTTTCTAACAGATTTACCGCTCCTTTGATAAAATTTATTTTATAAACATGACTTTAAATAACAGCAGATACAGCCATATTTTAGCTAATTGTGCACTGCTTACTTATTTTGATGTGTCTTTTTTTTCTTTTAGTGATAAAATTGTGGAATCCTTACCCACATTATAAAGACAATATGATAGAGTAGGAAAAGTTGCCTGAAGAACTGGAATCTAATCCTGGATTTGCCATTATACAATCTAAGAAAATTAATCTCTGAGTCAGTTTCCTTATCTATACAACAGGATGTTACAAAATCTTCCTGACATTACTGTCATTAGCATAAAATTAAATACAATGTATATAGAAACTCTGAGGCATTATAAAAATACAAGTGTAGGTAATAAAGTCTAGAAATGCTAAGCATTTCATAATTTGCCTATTTAAACTATAAGCCATATAAAGTTGCTCTCGTGATATATACTAGTAGAGAAAAAAGAACCACTTTTCTCCAGAGTAAGCATCTTTACATATAAAGTTGGCAGACTTTATTTTTTAATGTTTAAAAACTTTATTCAAATAAGAGCATTGTTTTTGACATGTTTTTAACTTTCAAGTAGTCTCAATTTATATGCAAACATCTAATTCACATATAAGATTTTGTAACTGTGTGTTTATGACATCAAAGTATCAATTACTTCAGTTAATTGATTTAGTTAATAAAAGTCAAATACCTAACCAATTTAATCAAATCAGTTATTCTGATATAATCTATTGTTTTTTTCACAGGGCAGAATATCCTGTGTATCACCCAGCCATCTCACTAGTACTGCTTTTGAATTGTGGTTAACTACACATAAAATTAATCATGTTAAGCATTTTTAAGTGTATGGTTCAGTGGCATTAAGTACATTCACGGTGCTGTGCAACCATCACTACTCTCTATTTCCAGAATTTTCTTTTATCATCCAAAGCTGAAAAGCCATACCTATTAAACACTAACTCTCCATTCCCCTATCCCCTGGTAACCTACTTTCTATGAATTTGACTACCTTAGATCCCATATATGCAGGAATGAGGGGGGTGCCACAGGCATTAACCCCACCCCACCCCTCCTCCTTTTTCTTTCTCACATCCAATTTCCTTCCCCTTTCCCCTCTCCCCCTCCCTCCCAACTGCTCCGCAACATCATAGAATGTAAAAAAAAAAAAAAAGGAATATTAATAAACTTATTAAAAAAAAGCAAAAAAAATTTTTTTTAAATAAAAAAACTAATTGAAAAAAGATCCCATAAATGGGCATACTTCATATATGGGAAAAAAGATCCCATATATGAGCTTCACTTTATTGTGCATTGCACAGTAGACAGAGAAAAGTCAATGCCTGGCTTCAAAAATTTAAAGGACAGAATAACTCTCGATGGGGGCTAATGCAGCTGGTGACTTTAAGTTGAAGCCAATCATTCCAAAAATCCTAGAGCCCTTAAGAATTATGCTAAATCTACTCCACTTGTGCTCTGTAAATGGAACAACAAAGCCTAAATGACAGCACATCTGTTTATAGCATGATTTATGGAATATTTTTTTTTTTTTTTGTCTTTTTCCGTGTCCGGCAACGGATCGCAACCCTCAGTGTCGCCCCCGTACTGGACCGGGGACCGGCAACGGGATCGCAACCCTTGGCACTGCTCCCGCGCCTCGCCCAGCCAGCGAGCGGGAACCGGTCTGTATATGGGATCCGAACCCTCGGGCGGGAGCGCCGCCGCGCTTCCCAAGCGGTGCACTATCCAGTGCGCCACCAGGCCGGCCCGATTTATGGAATATTTTAAGTCTACTCTTGAGACCTACTGCTCAGAAAAGTAGATTCCTTTCAAAGTATTACTACTCATTGACAATGCAACCTGGTCACCCAAGACCTCCTGATGATATACAAGATTAATGTTGTTTTCATGCCTGCTAACATAACAGTAATTCTGCAGCTCATGCATCAAGGAGTAACTTCAACTTTCAAGTCTTTTTTTGGTGGATGGATGATAAGGGCATCTGAAACCTTGAACTTGTTGTTATCACCACCATGCTCTACTGAGTGAACTAACCCACTAGTTGATAGCAACTATTATTTAAAAAATATATTTTGTAAGGTTATAGTTGCCATACATAGTGACTGCTCTGTTAGATCTGGGCAAAGTAAATTGAAAATCTTCTGGGAAGGATTTATCATTCTAGATGCCATTAAGAACATTCATGATTCATGGGAGAGGTCAAAATATGAACATTAACAGGAGTTTGGAAGAAGTTGATTCCAACCCTCATGGATGACTTTGAGGAGTTCAAGACTTCAGTGGAGGAAGTTAACTGCAGATGTGGTAGAAAAAGCAAGAGAACTAGAATTAGAAGTGGAGCCTGAAGAGGCTACTTAATTGCTGCAACTCATGATAAAACTTTAATGATTGAGGAGTTGCTTCTTATGGATCAGCAAGGTAGTTTCTGGAGATGGAATCTACTCCTGGTGAAGATGTTGTGAACACTGTTGAAATAACAAAGGATTTAGAATACTACGTACATTTAGTTGATAAAGGAGCAGCAGGGTTTGAGAGAACTGACTACAAACTTGGAAAAAGTTCTACTGTGGTTAAAACTCTCCCAAACAGCATCGCATGCTACCGAGTAATCTTTCATGAAAGGAAGAATCAACTGAAGTAGCAAACTTCATTGCTGTTTTATTTTAAGAAATTGCTACAGCTACCCCATGCTTCAGCAGCTACTGCTCTGATCAGTCGGCAGCCATCAACACTGAGACAAATCGTCCTCCTGCAAAAACATTATGACTCGCTAAAGGCCCAGATAATTATTAGCATTTTTTAGTTATAACATATTTTTTAAATTAAGGGACATACTTTTTTTTTTTTTTTGCACGTAATGCTGTTGCAAACTTAATAGACTACAGTATAGTGTAAATGTAATTTTCATATGCACTGGGAAACCAAAAAATTTGTGTGACTTGCTTTATTGCAATATTCACTATGCTGCGGTGGTCTGGAACCAAATCTGCAATATCTCTGAGGTATGTCTGTGTATGTGGAATCATACAGCATTTCTCCTTTTTCTTTTATCCCAAGCAAGAGTCTGTACCCATAACACACTATCTCCCCAATCCCCTCATCCCCTGGTAACCACCATTTTACTTTCTTTCTATAAATCTGACAACTTTAGATAACTTATATAAGTGGAATCATACAATTTTTGTCCTTTTGTGTCTGGCTTTCTTTACTTAGCATAATGTTTCAAGGTTAATCCATGTATCAGAATTTACCCAAATGAGTTAACTTATGTCCATGCAAAAATCTGCACATGGATGTTTACAGAAGCTTTATTCATAATTGCTAAAATTTGAAAGCAACCAAAATGTCCTTCAACAGAATGGATAAATAAACTGTGGTACATCCAGACAATGAAATAATATTCAGTTAGAAAGAAGTGGACTATTAAGCTATGAAAAGACATAGAGGAATGTTTTATGTATCTTGCTAAGTGAAAGATGACAATCTGAAAAGGCGACAGACTGTATGATTCCAATTACATGACATTTGAAAAAGTGCAAAACTATGGAGATAGTAAGGACTGGTGGTTGCCAATGGTGTGGGGGGAGGAAGGGATGAGTCGGTGGAGCACAGGGGATTTTTATTGCAGTGAGACTATTTTGTAAGATACTGTAATGGTGGACATGTCATTTTACACATTTGTCCAAACCCACAGAATCAACAACACCAAGAGTAACCCCTAATGTAGACTATGGACTTTGAGTGATTATGATGTTAGTTCGACTGTTAACAAATGTACCACTCTAGCATCAGATACTGATGGTGAGGGAGACAGAAAGTAGGTGGTAACTCACTTCAGTTCAATTTTGCTGTGACCCTAAGCCTGTTCTAAAAAAATCAAGTCTATTAGGCGTATTTTACTTTATGAAAATGTTATCCTTTTGGCACTGAGCAGATAAATACTGAAGCAAAACTTAAAAATTTCCATAATTTTTACTGACAGGGAAAAAAGGTTTTATGCTTTTCAGGCAAAAAAAACAGTAGGCAATAAAGCTATTTTGTATAGCATGACCCCAGTTTTGTTAAACAGACAAAATAAACAGATGTACAAATACATCTGAAGGAATACATACCAAATTGTTAACAATGACTTCATATAAGGGTGGAAGAGTTATGGATATTTTCCTTTCATTTGGATATATTCTAATTTTTTTCAAATTTCTTTCATGAAAAAATAAATAAAAGCAAAAGATTATATAGTTGCTAAACTAAGTTATTTTTTCATCTTGTAAGTACTGAAGACAATAACATGTACACCTTTGTGTTTCTGTATTAAAAATGAGTATTCTTACACTGGATAGGGCTTTATAGTTCTCAAAGTGTTCTCACAGTCTTCTTATCTACTATGGGGGAAGTAAGACAGTGTCGTAGGCTGACAGTGTAGTAGTGTCATAGTCTGAATGGTGGACCCCCAAACACGTCTACATCCAAATCCTCATAACCTGTGAATATTACCTGACAGGGTAAACAAAGAGTGAATATTATGTACAGGGCAAAAGATGTCATTAAGTTAAAGACTTTGAGAAGGGGGGAAAGATAGGGGAAGATGCAGGCACAGACTGAGGTGATGCAGCCACAAACCCAGGAATGTGGGGCAGCCACCAGAAGCCAGAACAGGCAAAGAATGAATTTTCCCTCTGAGTTCCTAAAGGGAGTGAGGCTCTGCTGGATTAAAGTCTGGATAAATAAATTTCTGTTTTCAATAGCCAAATTTGTGGTAATTTGTGATGGCTGCCTCAGGAAACTAATACAGCAGGTATTTTCATTTTACCAATGGCAAATCTCAGGTACACTCTATGCTTAATAGTCTTACAGCTATTAGGGGGCAGAGAAAGGACTCAAACCCAGATCTTTTACCTCTAAGTGCAGAGCAGTATTCTTTCTATTGTTCAATATTTCCTAGAGTACTTATTCAAAGGAGTGGTTAATTCAATCAGTCCAATGAAAAAACCCCGCCAAAATAATTTTTACGGAGATTATAAAAACAAGACAATTTATTGAATTATTTAAAAAAATGTTTTCTTTTCATGTTGTTGGCCTTGAGTATATGCTATAAAACATAAAGAAATCTGAGAAAAAAATGTGACACCATCTATGATACGCTTCAAAATTCAAGTGATACAGTTCTATTTCCAATTATTAGTAAATTTTCATTTGTTCATGAACTGATTTCCCTTTGACCTTGTGAATTTCCTTAAGGTCTTGATTTCATTAACTTGACCAAATTATCTCTTTTCTAACCTTAAGACTCTAAAATCAAAGCGAGACACCCACCCACTGAAAAGATGACATTCTTTACCTGGAATAAATGAATATTTTGCTCGAAATCCCAGTCCTTCAAGTTCTTCATCAGAACTAAACTTAATCCACATGAATCTTCCTGTTGACCTAATTAATGGAGGGCTTTTCATGCCACAGTAACGATCTATAAGAGGAGAGAAACCAAACGGCCCATCTCGAACTTCCAAGTGATCAAACCGACATTCAAATGATGGTTCTATGTAATAACGTTCATCAAAGGTCAACTCTATCCTTTGACGTGGAGCAGCTGGAAAGTAAGGGTAAGCAAATCAGCGCAACACAAATAAGAATATAAATGTACTAACACAAATGAGAAAAACAAAACAATTGCTCTCTTACTGCTTCCTAGATGAGGATCATAACAAGAATTATTATTCATAAAAGTCATAATAAATGTTATATTTTACATTAATAATAATGGTACTCTGTAGAAGTACAGTTACCTTTCTCTGTAGTGTATATTTATCAAATTAGTTAAACGGACTTGGACTGACTAAAATTGAAGTTGAGAAGCATTAACTTACATAGTTCATGAGACACAATGTACCATGATACATAGAAAAACAAACAGAAGAAATGAAAGGAGCTCGCTGATGTGGATATAAACTTGCATAAAGACTAATAAGGGTGTCAGTAAGTTTAAGTTTCTTATCAGAAAAGTTTCTCATATATACTGATGTACCTAGTTGAATTATACTTTAGGAGATTCAAAATTCCCACAAAATGTCAACTATTACTTTATTAATGTATTCAATATTCAGATATGCTTATCATTACTAGTAAGAGTTTAAATTCAAATACATGTTTAAATTTTGTTCAAACTGGTTTAAAGATGAAATTTTACCAATACATTTAGTTTTACAGGAAAGTAAAAATAAAAAACAGAAATTTGTCAAATACCTTCCAAAATGTAGATACACTCCTTGTTTGGTGGATATGAGTCAGGGTAATTTGGTGAAGCAAAATGACCTCCATTGCTGGTTCGAACCCAAATGCCACACTGGGTTGCAGGAATGTGCTTGATTCCAATATTTTGTCCATCTTGGGTCTTTTGGGCCACTGCAATTCCTTCCACTACAAGTATTGTTATTAACAACACTTTGAGGACCGAGCAGAGCTGCTCCAGGGCCATGTTCCCGAGCGGCCCGGCGCTTCGCGAGGGGCTGAAGCGGCCGAGTGAGGGAAAAATAACATTTAAAACATTAATTACAGCAAAAGAGAAAAGCATTCTTCTCTTTCCCCTACAACTTTCCAAACAATTGCCCACTTCATGTTACATATATATACAATTTTGTAAGCACCATTGCCAAATTTAGCACAATAGAGTACAGCAGAAGCAAAAGAAAAGTTAAGATTTTGTGCTGTGCTCACTCGAAAAACTCACTGCTTGAGGACAAGTTTGCCATGAAAGAGAATAGGGAAATAAAATGCTTATATTTTACAAAGGCAAAACCTTCTGGGAGAATCTGATAAATCAATGAAATTCAGTTCTGACATAAAAATAAAAGAATCCCAGAGGTTGCTCTCTGATATGGTACCCTTATATTTAGTTGAACACAAAAGTCAAATAAGATTCAAAGATTATAGAGGAATTTTAGTTAAAAATTGTAGATTGAACATGTGCACTTAGCTCTGCTCTCTCCTCAAGCTCCACTTAAACAACAGCAAAAGGATTTAAGAGCATAAACCCATAAGTACAAAGAAGTAGATACAACTGCAACACCAGGCAGTACTTGGATGTGGGACAAGTGGTGGTGTGCGAAATTGAGCTTTTTAAAAACACGAGGCTGCTTAAAAGTCTGTTTAGAATCAGTTTACCTAATACTCTTCCATACTCCACAAATCTAGGTGGCTGCTGCTCTATCGCCACATCAGAAAACTTGAGATTATTTCTTTGGAGAAAGTAAAACAGGGTTATTGGACTAGGGGACACCAGGCACAGCTAAAGGTGAAAATACTAACCTGAAAACAGGGAGATGGTGAATGTTAACATCCTTGAACAATACTCCCAGTTCCTCTCTCACTGAAATCCCCAAAGGCTGCTTGGTCAGAAATAGAGCCTCTAAGCAGGAAATGGATGATTCTTCTCTGGGGAATCTAATCAGCCCAGAGAAAGACTCAACAATGCAGACACAGGGGTTCTCTGATGTCAGATCATTTAACAGTGAAGGCCACAGTAAACAATCCCTACCCACCCCTGCAGACAGCTAACGATCAGCTTTTTAGTGCCTCTCTTAAAATATAAGCAGACATTCAAGGATCACCAGACATTTGAGGAAAGCCTAAAATGTGAAAAACAGATCAAAACAAACAGAAACAAAAGCAACTCTGAGGATCAAAGACTTGTAAGAAAAATTTTAAAAATAACAACACAAAGCAGAACTGTCATTTAATCTCCTCAGAGAGGTAGAAAAGTATATCTATAAAACAAGAATAAGGACTTTCTAAAAAAAAGAATATTCAGAAACAAAAGAGAGCTTACAAAAATAGAAGAAAAATAGAAGAAATGAAAAAAGTAGTAGAAAGTTCAGAGCAGAGGTCAGCAAACTACGGCCCTGGGCCAAATCTGACCTGCTGCCTATTGTAAATTAAGTTTTACTAAAATATGAGGGTACTTCAAAAAGTTAATGGTAAAATTAGTATGATCTCTTAATTCTATTTTTTCCACGAACTTTTTGAAGTACACTCATACATCCATGTTCGTCATTTGCATGTTATCTCTGGCTGCTTTCACACCACAATAGGAAGAGGTGATCAGCTGTGCCAGAGACCATATGGCCTGCAAAGCCTTAAATACTTGCTAGCTAACCCTTTACAGAAAAAGTTTTTTAAACTCTTGGTTTAAAATATAAAGTGGAGAAAGTCTCCCAGAACATGGAGCAAAAAGAGAGATGGAAAAATAGAAAATATAAAAGCAAAAACAGGAGGGCCATAACTAAATAATAGGAATTCCTGAACAGACAGAAAAGAGAAAATGGAGAAAAAGGAATTTTAAAAATTAAACAAACAGGAAAAAAAAAAACCACCTAAACTTAAACACAAAACTCATATTGAAAGAACTAGATGAGTGACTTAATGTTAAAGTCTGAGTACTTATTTTACCAGAATTATAATCTAAGTATATTGAGAAGGTGGGACAAATGGAAAGCAAGATAACACTTGCATGTGGATGGGGTGAAAGGTAGGTACATGAAAGAGCTAAATTCTCATTTTCTGTGGTGAGAAACCAGTACCTAATGTCTAAAACTAAAATAATCAAGAAGTATAGGATGTTATTTAGAGATATGAAGGGAAATACCAAAAGAATCAGCTAAAAGATTAGTTATTTCCACAGAGCAGGAAATGGGATAGGGTAGAATGGGGGACAGATTTTTCCTAATTAATTTTTTTGAACGCTTTGATTTTTATCATATGTATGTATTAACTTTGATAAAAATAAAAAATAAGTAAGATTATATAGGAAATGCTCTAAACTCTGACATGAAAATTTGGCTCAAAAATCACACTAGCAAATCTTCCTTCATAATTCAGTACAATCAGAACAGGACCAATTGGCTTTGCATAAGATATTGATGGAAATGTTTCATTTGTTTACATTAGAAAAAAGGTTTTGCTGAGTGATAAAGTATGAATCTCAGTTAATTTGGGGACATAATCCACAGTGTACTAGGAGTTGCTAGTGATGCCAATTTTTAAAATTTATCAGGGCAAGACCTTATGTTGGCAATTTACTGTAGTTAACTGTCATTGAACCCAATTAAATTGAGGCTGATAGGTTGACAGAAAGCCGTAGGTCATTGGAACACCCCAGAGGGATTATGGAAATAGTATTCAAAAAATGCAATCCTTTTAAATAAGCCATCCCACTATCCTGAACATGCAATAAGTTATCACTGTAAGTACTTTACCTTGGGTCTTTTGGGCCACTGCAATTCCTTCCACTACAAGTATTGTTATTAACAACACTAGAGAGATAACAGAAAAGAAAAGTTAAAAAATTGAATCTAAACTACATTTCACTAAGTCTATAAAGAAAATCACATGACAAAGAAAGATAAACTAAAGCCACGATTTCTAACATTCACTATCAACATTTTCGTGTTAAATGTTATGTTCTGATTTACTATTTGATCTTTAAGACAACCCCCCAAAGTACATAACTGATTTTATACTCATTTATACAAGCACCAATAACACATGGTATTTAAAGCATTTTTCAACTTGACAGGTTTTAAAAAAATGCTTTTGGTTTTTTGCAACAGACTTCACTAGCCCTAACTATTCCTCTACTTGCTGCACTCCACCTCAGAGTTTATGTGCATTATGGCTAGCCCTGCAATGTGTTGTCCAGGTGTGAGCTCAATTACATTACCTGACTTGTGAGAACATTCATAATAAGGACAGAAGTAAGGAGGCAGCAGTCTCCTAGAAATCAATTCAAACCATTTTATAGTTGTGCAGTACTATGCTGTGTTCTGTGTTACAAAAACTAGCCATATTTAGGGACCAAAGCTTTTTTTCCTTCCAATTTGAACACTTCTGACACTGAATCAACAATATATTGAGTTGTTTTGCATGTGTATTTGTTTTGAAGATTTAAAAAAACATTTCATTTTTACGAATGGTGCTCTCTCCCTTTCACTGGAAACCACACTACCAGCCTGCCTCAAACTACTATGTGAACTACAGTTATTCAACCAAAAAGCACTTATAGAGTATCTACTGAAGAGCAGGCACTGAGGGTACACAGGTGTAGAGAGAGAAATGTAGCAAAACGGTTAAGAGTACCAACTTTAGAAGTTAGATGAATCTAGAATGTGGTCCCCAGTTTTGCCTTTTACCAGCTGTGAGGCCTTTTCAGCTCAGTTTACTTATTTGTAAAATGGGGATGATGTACTAACAGCACCAACCTCATTGGTCGTTTTGAAAATTAAATGAGATGCATGCACAGCACTTTTTATGTGCCAGGCATTCTGCTAAATAAATGACAGATATTACGACAAACTAGCCTCTGCAAGAAGTCAATCTATGGTCAAAGACAATCTACAAAACAAAGTGAAAAGGCGTTTAACAGGAGGTAGACAGAAAGCACAATGGAAGCACAGAGAAGGAAACCATCCATTCTGCTGGGATTAATGGGAACAGGGTGAGGAAAAATTGAGAAAAATAAGTATACTCTGGTTGGACCTTACAGGACTTGAACTCAGCAGAGGAAGAAAGGTAGTGTTTAAAGAAAAACATGAGGGCATGAACACTATTCTATAGGTCTTAGGGGAACTCTGGGTAATACAGTATGGCTAGCTTTAGGAGGGGAATGTTGGTAGAGCAGGTTAGAAAAAAGGTAGGATGAGATCTGGTTGACAGATGTCTTGAATGCCATGTTAAAGAGTGTGGCCTTTTGACTGTAATGAGATGCCATTGTATGTTTTTAAACTAGAGAGTGACATAATCACATCTGTGTTTTAGACTGATACTCTTGATGGCTGTGTGGAGTCTAAACTTTTATTTATTTATTTATTTATTTATTTTTTGTCTTTTTCCGTGTCCGGCAATGGTTCGCAACCCTCGGTGTTGCCCCCGCGCCTCACTCAGCCAGTGAGCGGGAACTGGTCTGTATGTGGGATCCAAACCCTCGACGGGAGCGCCGCCGCGCTTCCCAAGCGGCGCACTAGCGCAGTGCGCCACCGGGCCGGCCCTGGAGTCTAAACTTTTAAAGAGAAGAAGGGAAATCACCTAGGAAGCAAAAATGATAATGTCTTAAAGCAGAGCCATGGAAGTGGAAATGGAAAGGAGGAGAGATTAATGACATGTCTCAGATGTAGAGTCGAGTGCAACTTGGTATCCCATAGGACTGAGGGGTGAGGGAGATGGAGGAACTGAAGAGTTTGCTAGTGTAAGTGACAGATACATAGTCATACCATTTGTTCACTCAATAGCATGTACTAAGTATCTACTACCCAGAGTCACCAATGTACAAACATATGGTTCTTGCCATTCAGTTTATATCTTAAAATCTAATTATTTGACCTCTTTATCTTTGGTTTCTCGCATCCTTGCTGACCTCTGTCTCCTCTGTCTTCTCGCAACAACTTTAATTTTCCCTTTCCCTTTCTTCGGTTGCTGGTAATGGTGAAGATCTCATGTTATATAGGAACAATCCTTCCTTC